CCGGCGACACTTCCTGGCCACAGCCGGTGAGGGTGACGGACGCCATCGCAGAGAGGCTAAGGTACACGCGTGTACACGGGGACGCTCCGGCCTGGCTTCCGAGCACTGGCGGGGGTGAACGACCACTCTGCTCTGTAAGCTTTGTGTCTTGTCTCCAAAATGCAGATAATACCCACCGTTGAAGGTTGATGGGCAGATGGCGCGGTGGGGCGGGACGCTACCAGAGGGCCACTGGGGTTACTCGAGCCCCAGACCCAGAGGCTTGGAAAGCAGGCCAGGCGTGCGCGCGCGTGTGTGTATGTGTGCGCGCACGTTCCCAAAAGTGGATAGTGGAGGAGAAGGGATGGTGGCGTGGTCGCTCCCTGTGGGGATGCCTTCTCACTTTCTCTCTCCCTCTCTGTCTCTCCCCAGCAAGCACATGCACCCTATAGCCAATTTGGTTTTTTAAAAAAGACTGATGGAGGGATTAAATGAAAATGTGAATGTAAACGCTTGGTGAATAGCTTTTATTATTTATCCATTGCTTAGGAGTTTCACAGAGCGTTGATATTCTCTTTCACATTTTATTAGCATAATAGCCCTGGGAAATATTAAACAGGGGTTGTTCTCCCTATTGTAAAAATGAAGAAAATGAGTCTTACAAATGCCCTGTTATGGGCCAACAGGCGGCGCAGAGGTTAAGGCGGCCGGATCCCACATGGCCAACTGTGCAGTTCAAGCCCTGGATCCGGGGACTTGAGAATCACGCTGGGCGCGTGTGCGTGCGTGCCCAAAATCCTGAGAGGAGAGTGGAGAAGAAGGGATTGCGGCACGGCCATCCCCCAGGGGTGATTTCTCACTTTCCCTCTTTCTGTCTCTCTCTAGCGAGTGCACATGCTCGGTGGCAAAAAACCTCAGAAAGAAAAAAGAGAAAAGAAAAACCGAGGGGTAAAGGTGAGTAGGAGGAACGGCACGAAAGCTGCCACATTCGTTAGTGCAGAGTGTCCCCCCTGGCCTGTAGAGGACTCCAGCCCCAGTCCAGAACTGGGTCATTTACTGAGCAGGAAGACTTCCTCCCGGCTATCCCCACATCGGAGGGCAGGGGCCACGGGGCAGGCGCCGAGACTGGGGACGGGAGAATGAGGTGCAGCGTGGAGCAATGGTCAGCACAGGCCAGCGGGCTCTGCAGCTGGGCTGTCCCACGGGGACCACTTCGGCCCAGTGGTTTGGAGACAGAGTAGCCGCAGCGACCCTCCTGCCTCGGCCTCCCAGCTGGGAGCATGGGCGTCACCACCACAGCCCGACCTTGAGGGTGGACCGGGGATCAAATCTAAGCCTCCCACGTGGTCCCAGCCTGCAGAGCGTCGCAGCAGTGCACGCCACCAGGGCTGGCACCTGTTTAATCAAAGTTCAATTCAAATTTGTTTAATTTTTATTATTCTTAAAATTTTGCTATAGGGTGGGACCAGCAGTTAGCATAATGGCTATGTCGCTGGACTCCCACATAGTCGACCATGGTTCAAGTCCCGGACCCGGTGGCTTAAACTCACGCTGGGCACATGTGCGTGCGTGCCCAAGATCCCGAGAGGAGAATGGAGGAGAAGGGATTGCGGAGAGGCCATCACCCCGGGGGATGATTTCTCGCTTTCTGTCTCTCTGTCTCTCTCTGTCTGTCTGGCGAGCGCACACGCCCTATAGCAAAAGTCTCTCCAAAAAAAGAAAAAAATATTTGCTATAGGGTACATATGCTTGCCGGAAAGAGAGAGAAAAAGAGAGAGAAGAAAAGTGAGAAATCACCCCCCAGCAGGGATGGCCACACTGTGATCCCTTCTCCTCTTGGGATTTGGGGCATGCATGCACATGCACCTGGTGCGTTTTTCAAACTGCAGGGTCCAGGACTTGAACCGCAGTGTTGGCCATGTGGGGTCCACCTGCCTCAACCAGCATGCCACTGCTGGCCCTAAACTACAGTTCTAAGCTGTGTTTCCCAGACACACTAGCACGTTGCCGGTGCTCCGTAGCTTATGCGGCCACCGTGTTGCCCAGCGCAGAGCTCTTTGGGAGACCACCGCCCTCGGTATTTTTGTTGCCATTACTTTCGGTGCATTAGAGTCGGTGCTTCCATTGCCGCAGGCGCCTTGCGTAGTCTTCACGGTTCAAGAAAGGACCAGCAGACCCCATGGAGGTTAAGGTATCTGATTCAAGTCCCAGACCCACATGGCTTGCAGCACGGTTCGAGTCCCAGACCCAGAGGCTTGAAAAACATGCCAAGAGTGTGTGCATGCTGAATATCTTGAAAGAAGGACGGAGGAGAAGGGATTGAGGCAGGTCATCCCCACTGGGGGATGATTTCTCATTTTCACTCTCTCTCTCTTTCTCTCTCCTCAGTGAACACACATGCCCATAGCAAACTAAAAGACAAAACAAAACAAAAATGTTCAGGATAGGGAACATTGGCAGTTGGCGTAATGGCTATGTCGCTGGACTCCCATGTAGTAGACTTGTTCAAGTCCTGGACTCGGTGGCTTAAACTCACGCCGGGCACATGTGCGTGCATGCCCAAGATCCTGAGAGGAGAATGGAGGAGAAGGAATTGCAGTGGACTTCCCCCCGGGGGGTGATTTCTCACTTTCTGTCTCTCTGTCTCTCTGTCCTTCTAGTGAGTGCACACGCCCTGTAGCAAAAATCTCTCAAAAAAAATTTTTTTTGGATAAATTAATTGCTATTATAAATTATACTGATGACAAAACAACATTTTCCCACGACCAGCAGGTGGCATAATGGTTACATCACTGGACTCCCATGTAGCCGACCATGATTCGAGTCCCGGACTCAGTGGCTTGAAATTCACATCAGGTGCGTGTGCATGCTTGCCTAAAATCCTGAGAGGAGAATGGAGAAGAAGGGATTGTGGCGTGGCCATCCTCCCTGGTGGTGATTTCTCACTTCCTGTCTCTCCATCTCTCTGGCAAGCACAAAGACCCTATCAAGAAAAAGAAAAAAAAAAAAAAAAAAAAACTGAGTCTCAGTCATATGACCTGAAAGGGCTAGTTAAGTCCACATCAATTGTAAGTTTGAAAGACCTGAAACAGTACCAGAAAGAAAAATGAGAAACAACTAAATGGACAAACCATATATCAAAACGTATTTCTAAATTAATAAATCTTTAAACTACATTTTTAAAATATATTTATTTATTCATTTAATTTCATTTGTTATTATTTTTTAATTTGAACACAGAGAGAGAAAGGGTAAGTGAGGAAGCAAGCTGCCAGGTTCGGGACTTGAACCACAATTGGCCATGTAGGAGTCCAGCACCCTTAACCATCATGACACCTGCTGGCCCCTAAACTACATTTTTTAAAAAGTCAGTTCTATTTGTGAATTGAGTACATCAATTTCTTTCTTTTTTTGAGAGATTTTTTTCTATCAGGCATGTGTACTTGCTGGAGAGACAAAGAGACAGAGAGAAAGAAATCCGCCAGGTGAGATAGCCATGCCGCAATCTCTTCTCCGTTCTCCTCTTAGGATCCTGGGCACACACACACGTACCCAGTGTGAGTTGCAAACCGCCAGGTCTGAGACTCCAACTGTGCTCGGCATGCGGGAGTCCAGCACCCCAACTGCTATGCCACCTGCTGACCCTACTTCGATTTCTTTTTAAAGAATAAAAAGGCCTGTAACATCTTCCCTGTGATGCTGGTGGTTCTCTTACCCGTTTTTAGATTTTCTGCTATAGGGTGCATGCACTCACTGGAGAGAGACTGAGTTGAGAGAGAGAAAAAGTGAGAAATCGCCCTCCTAGAGGGGATGGCCACATCACAATCCCTTCTCCTCCATTCTCCTTGGGACTTTGGGTGCACATGCACATGAGCCCAGCGTTTTTCAGGCCACTGGGTCCAGGACGCAAACTGCAGTCAGCCGGGTGGGATGTAACGCCTTAACCACCACACCACCTCTGCCCCATCTCACTTTATTCTTGATGGAAGCTCCCCATCAAGCTCCCTGGCCAATTTCTAGCGTGTCCTGACTGAGGACTGGGGACGGGGACAGGCCCAGCCTGGGTCAGGCGGCAGAGCAGGAGGAGGCAGCGGCTGCCGGGCGGGGGCCTTACCCGTGTTCCACTCGTGGTGGCAGCTTCCCCAGGGAAGGTCCGTGGTGAAGCTGCTGAAGAGGTAGAAGAGGGCCCAGGCCAGCACGATGATGTAGTAGACGTTCAGGAGGATGACGATCATCTGGGAGGCATAGCCGATGCTTGCGGGTGCAGAGCGGGCAGGGCGGGTTCCCACCACTGCCCGTGCCAGGCCAGGAGAGGGTCTGCACTGCCTGCTGGGACCCTCAGCGAGGAGTGCTGGGGCTGGCCTCTGCCCTCCCACCCCCGCCCGCGCCCCAGCGGGGATGCCGGTGCCCCAGCAGCCCTTCTGGGCCAGACCTGCACTGCCCGCTGGGGCCCTCAGCGAGGAGTGCTGGGACTGGCCTCTGCCCTCCCACCCCCGCCTGCGCCCCAGCGGTGCTGCCGGTGCCCCAGCAGCCCTTCTGGGCCAGAGGGACTTCCTCTTGTCCTCTGCTACAGCACCCCTGCGCCCCGTGCACCTCCATCTTCAGTAGTTCTGAAAGTTCTCTGACCCACAGTTATTTCAAATGTGCCAGACTAACTCAGAGCTTCCAGGGTCTCGTTCCCCAGAACCAGTCTGAAATTAAGAGGGGCAGCCTGTGCCCATGGGAGAAAACCAAGGAGCGAATGAGCATCTCTAAGATACATCCGCTGGACCAGCAGGTGGCGTGGAAGTAAGGCGCTGGGTTCTACGTGGCCAACCGTGCCCACGGTTAGAGTCCCAGACCTGGTGCGTGAAAAACACACAGGCATGTGTGCACGTGTGCCCAGAAATCCCAAGAGGAGACTGGAGGAGGAGGAATGACGATGTGGCCATTCCCCTCTGGGGGTTATTTCTCGCTTTCTCTGTCTCTTGTGAGTGCAGGTGCCTATAGCAAAATTTAAAAAAATAAATAAAAAAGGCGTATTCATCCTCTCTAATAACTGTAGGTGTCTATAGCTGTACTGAAATGCCTCCGAGTGGTAGAACCAGTGGTTTTCCAAACTTGTCTGCACACTACAATGGCCCGGGCGGTATTCACAGAATTCCAACTCCAGGTCAGACCCCAGAGCGTTTAAGTCACACTGTCTGGGGGTGGGGTAGGCTGCAGGATGTTGTGGAGATTCTCAGGCGACTCCCGTGAGCAGGCGAGTCTGAGGGCCGCTGGTAGAACCCAGGGCTGTGGAGTTGTTGAAGACATGGGCAAAGATGTCTGCTCGTGTCTAGTGACATCGTAAGTCACTGTCACACTTCCACAGGGAATTTAACAAACTAGATCAAGAAGAAGCAACGTGACAACCCACGGGATCCAATAAATGTACCTGGGAATTTTTCCATGGAAATAATTCCAAAAGGGAGGGGAAGCCATCTGAACAAACACACACAGCAGCAGAGCACACAGACGTGACGAGTGGGGCCAGCCAGCAGTGTGGTGGGGAAGGCAGCTGGACCCCACGCGACAGACTGTGCGGTTCGAGCCCCAGATCTGGCAGCTGGAAAAGCACACCAGGCACATGTGCGTGTGTCCAAAATCCCAGGAGGGGATGGAGGAAAAGGGGTGTGGGACGAGCCTCCCCACAGGGGTGCTTTCTCTCTCTGACGAGCGCATGTACCCTCTAGCAAAAGATAAAAAATAAATAAACCATAAAAAATGTTTTTACAGGGACCAGCAGGTGGAGTGGTGGTTAAGGTGCTAGACACTCCCACATGGCTGACCAGGGTTCAAGTCCCTGGACCTGGTGGCTTGCTTTCTCACTTTCCCTTTCTCTTTCTCTATCTCTGTCTCTCTCTGGTCAAACTAAAAGTAAATGAATAAATAAATAAAATAAAATAAATACTTATTAAAAAAGAAATAAAATAAACTTGAAAAAGATTTTTTTAAAAAACGTTTTTACAAATAATCGAAAATAGGCAGAAATCCCCAGAGAACATTCTGTAAACTATGGTATATCTACCTGAGGGAAGCTTATGCAGTCGTTGTGTGATTTCCGTGCAGAAAATGGAAGCTAGGACTAACCGCAATTTTAAAAAAGAACAAAACCGTACACGTTCCGTATTAATAGGCATATCACATCTATAGAAAGAGAAAGAAATACTGAAACAAAACCGTCCATACTGGAACCACAAATGTTCTTCAGTAGATGAACAGTTAAACAGGTACACCCATACCGCGGGCCGGGGGGTGGCACGGCGGTGACACAGCTGGAACCCCATGGGAAGGTCCTGGGGTCATATCTCAGGACCTCCCTGAGTGCACCAGACACAGCCGATGCCTGTGACCCAGGCCAGCTGCGACCGAGTGTGGGCGGCAGTGCAGGGCACCTCGCTCTGTTGCTCTCTCTCTCTGACTCTGTCACAGAAGGAATGGAAGGAAGAAGGAAGGGAGTTTCTGACTCTCTCTCTCGAGGAGAGAGGGAGAGAGGGAGAGAGAGAGGAAGGAAGGAAGGAAAGGAAGGAAGGAAGGAAGGAAGGAAAGGAGGAAGGAAGGAAGGAAGGCAGGAAGGAAAGGAGGAAGGAAGGAAGGAAGGGAGAAAGGAAGGAAAGGAGGAAGGAAAGGAGGAAGGAAGGAAGGAAGGAAGGAAGGGAGGGAGGAAGGAAGGAAGAAAAGGGAGAACAAAGAAGCCTTTAAAAAGAAGAAATGAGCTACAGATGCACGCGCCGGCATCTGGTGGATCAATGGGCTTGAAGGGTCTCATGCTGGTGAAAAAGAGTGTGCACGGCACACCCCACGTGCAGCCTCCCCAGAGGATAGCCTCTAAGAGGCTAAGGATGGGCGGGAGAGCTCGGGCGGCTATAGAGGGCACAGGACGGGTCTTTGAGGTGACGGGTGGCTCCAAATCCTGACTGTGATGGTGTCTCCACACATTCACCTGTGTCATGAAGTCACACAGTGGTACGCACGTACGCACGAGCGCGGGGAACTGGCAGATCCCAAAGGAGGTCTGTGGATAGCCTCTAAGAGGCTAAGGATGGGCGGGAGAGCTCGGGCGGCTATAGAGGGCACAGGACGGGTCTTTGAGGTGACGGGTGGCTCCAAATCCTGACTGTGATGGTGTCTCCACACATTCACCTGTGTCATGAAGTCACACAGTGGTACGCACGTACGCACGAGCGCGGGGAACTGGCAGATCCCAAAGGAGGTCTGTGGAGTTGTTGAAGACATGGGCAAAGATGTCTGCTCGTGTCTAGTGACATTGTAAGTCACTGTCACACTTCCACAGGAAATTTAACAAACTAGATCAAGAAGATCCTGAAGGAGGTCTGTGGGTACACCAGTGTGGATCTCTCAGGGTTTGATGTACTGAATTACGGAAAGAAACTTCCTGGGAATCCGTAATTACCTTAAAATAAACACTTAAAAAATGTATATGTGTGTGTGTGTGTGTGTGTGTGTGTATGATATATATATATATATTTAGAGAGAGAGAGATAATGAAATAAAACACCCTACATGTTAAATAGCTATTGTGTCAAAGATGGTAGAACTATTCATAAAAATTTTTCTCCTTTAAAATTTCTTTTAACATATTTTATAATTGATTGAATGTCTTTAAAAATACAAAATCATTATATGCTACATATTATATATATGATTTTGTATTTTTAAAGACATTCAATCAATTATATGGCATATATTTATATATATATATGTATATAACATATTGGCTCATCAGAAAACTCATGATGTACTTTTTTATGTTTTCCTATGCAAAAATGCATCATGACTTTTCTGATCACCCAATAGTATATATAATACATATATTATATATATTTTAAATACATAATAACTTTGCACTCTACTTTCTCTTTTTTGAGAGGTTTTTGCTATAGGGCATGTGCACTTGCCAGAAAGACAGACAGAGACAGAGAGACAGAAAGTGAGAAATCACCCCCCAGGGGGGATGGCCACGCCACAATCCCTTCTCCTCCATTCTCCTCTCAGGATCTTGGGCACGCACACACATGTACCCAGCATGAGTTTAAGCCACCAGGTCCGGGACTCGAACCGCAGTCGACTACATGGGAGTCCATCGACATAGCCATTACGCCAACTGCTGGTCCCATGTAGTCTATTTTTTAACCTAAAACATTTGTCCAGCCTCCACTTGTCCCTCATCTTTTTTTAAAATGTTAGGGGTTTTTAAATAATTGTTTATATATATTATTTCAATTTGCTATTGGGCACGTACGCTCACCAAAGAGAGACAGAAACAGAGAAAGAGAGGGAGGATAAGAAAGTGAACTGTCTGGTCTAGGACTCCAACTGGGGTCTGTCAGGTGGGAGTCCGGTGCCTTAACCACCACGCCACCTGCTGGCCCTCTCCCTCATCTTCTAGTGGCCCAGGCGGCTAGCTTAATATTCAGCCCACAGTCCTACCTTCACCTCAGAACCTCCTGGTCACCCAGCTGCCCAAGTACGGACTCAGGTACAGAGCTACTCACCCTCAAAGATGGGGCAGATCTTCCTCCAGGCTGTGACGCCCCCCTGGCTCGTGTACTGGCCCAGAGCAGTCTCCAGGAGGAAGACGGGAATGCCACAGGTGAAGAGGAAGATGAGGTAGGGGATGAAGAAGGCACCTGGGGGTGGAGAAAGGCCATGCGTCGCCCGCATCCTCCTCCTCTGGTCCTTACTCCTCATCTCCTTCCATTACCCGCCCCCCAGCCAGAGTCTCAGGGTGGGGGGCAGGGAAAGGACCCCGGGGGAAACACACAACTTTGTGACCCCCATTTCGGGGTCAAGAGTCACCAAATGATCCATTCCCGTGCCTCTTTCCACTGTGAAGTCCAGTCCACAGCTGGCTTGCCCCTTCCACAACAGCAGCTACCACCCTCGCTGACGCACCTGTGGCCGGATACCCAGGAGCACAGCCACTCCGCAGCTGAACTCGGATTCCCCTTCGGCGATCTTTCTGTGTTTTCAGAACCACTGATTGGACCAGACTGCTGATCCAGAAATGCTGGTCTCTGCTCTGCCACGGACTCTATCTGCAGCAACATGGACGGGAACTCCCAGGATAGAGAACCACAGAAGCAGACCCTGCATAGAGACGGGAACTGCCTTCCAGCTTTCACCCGGGTACTGGTCAGTGCGTGTGTCTGAAAACGTACCCAACGTGAGGCTGAGAATCACTGAAATGACGAGTCGTGGAGCTCACACGGTGCCTGTCCTCACCAGCCGGACTGAATAATCTCATGATTCACCGGCGCTGGTGAATCAGTGAACATGCGTAACCTCAGCAGTGGGGAGCAGCTAGCCCTAGACTGAACACGACTTCGGTCCTACCTAACAAACCCTTATTAAAAGCAAGAAGGAAAAGGGACGGTAGCTACCCTGGTCCCAGATCAGAGCTCGAGAACATCTATAGAAATATAATATTATCCAGCAACAAATAAGGCAAACGTATTAACAGGTCTGGCATCTGATCAAAAATTCCCAGAAGACCTAGCCACGCTAGCCCATGCTGTTAGACCTGGCTCCTTGGAAGGCTGAGGCCACATAGGAGACCCAAATTTGATTCCCAACCCACTCCCAAAAAGCCAGGAGCACTAGTATGCACCTGTAGTCCACCTAGTCAGAAGGCTGATGCAGGAAAATCAGTACTTATGGCCAGAGTGTCGGAAAGAACTGGGCATGGTGGCAATAATCTCATGTTAAATAAATAAATAATCGGGAAAGGAAAGCAGGAAAATGTCACTCAGTCAACTGAATAAAGTAGAAGAATCAGTCAATTAAATCTGACCCAAAACTAACACAGATGTTAGCACAAAAGGGAATTTAGAAAGTTATTATAACTATATTGTATATTCAAAAAGTTAAACAGAGACATGAAAGATACTAAAAAAAGACCCAAAGTAAACCTAATTTTCTTTCTTTCTTTCTTTTTTCTTTTTTTGTAAGAGAGACAATCATGAGGGGGCAGGAAAAGAGAGGGAGGAGGCCATCTCTTTGACAGGGTCTCTCCAGGTCATGGTCTTCTGGCCCCAAACTCCCACTTAGCTACAAGCACTTTGGCTAGTGCCCAGCTAACCAATGTTACTGTACCCAGGCTGACTTTAGGCTGGGCTAGGAACCAGACGTGGGCCTCCCATGCAAACTTAGCCACTGCTCGGTGGCATCTTCCCCCTTGTGCCACCATGGCTAGGCCCCAGTCAAACTTGTAGAGATAAAAACTACATTATGTGAGATTTAAAAATGCACTGGGGCCAGCTCTGTGGCACATTGGTAAAGCACTTCTTAATACAGTAGGATCCCACGTGGCAATCACAGTTTGAATCTCTGGCCCAGTCCACCTGAGACACACCAGGCATGCACAAAGTGCCGAGGAAGAGGGGGTCATGGTATGACTAGGCCCTGTGGATGCTACTTCTCTCTCTCTTAGATGTTCTATCATGAATAATGACAGATAGATAATCTATCAATAATAATGATAGAGATTATGGTAACTACATAGATAAACATATAATTTTCCTTATTGCTCGGATTTCTTTTAAAAATATTGGTTAAACAAAAATAACAATGTAATATGTAGACATGTAAATAACATGTAAACAAGTGAAGTGTATAGCAACAAGAGCACAGACATGAGACATGAGAAGAGAAATAGAATTGTCCTATTCAAAAGTTCATATCTATCGGGTTGTTGGAAAAGTCGTGATGCATTTTTCTATGTTTTTCTATACAAAAATGCATCATGACTTTTCAAGCAACCCAATCTATCTGTATAGTAGTACAATGTTACTTGACAGTAAGCTATGATAAGAAAGAGGTATGCTACAAAATCTAAAACACATACACACACAGCAAAAAAGTTATAATTAATAAGCCAAAAAAAGAATAGAACCAACAGTGGAATAATTTAAAATATCCAATTAAACCCCAAAAAAGGCAGAAGGGGAGGAAAGGAAGAAGAAGGAACTGATAGAATAAATAGAAAGGAAACAGTAAGAGGACAGACTTAAACCTAACCAAACAAATAACTATATTAAACGTAAATGGTATAAAGATCCCAATTAAAAGGCAGAAATTATTCAATCGGCTTTAAAAAAACAGCAGGACTCAATGATATGCTACCTAAAAGAAATGCGCTTCAAATAAAAAGGGCATGAAGAGGTTAAAGCTAAAAGTCTAGAAAAAGACTTACTGTGGCCAATTGTACTGAAAAGAAAGCTGGGGCCAGAGAGAGAAGGAGAAATTGGGAGACCCCGCAATTCCAGAAACAAGTGAGAGAGACAGAAATAGCAACTCCAACAGGGCCCTGACCTGGGAATCCACCCCCAGGCCCAGCCCGCCCTAGATGATGGGTCTGCACAGTCTCATCAAGCTCAAGAACACGGACCAGCAACACTCCCACGTGGGTCAGCATCGCAGAGAATCATACTTTCCCATGTGCTTCCTCTTATGTTGTTTTTAGTAATCACATGAACCTAATGCTTAAAAAAATAATAAAGCTGGGAAGTGTTTATTTTTAATAATTATTTATTTTATTTTATTTATTATTATTTTAATCTGCTATGGGGCACATGCATTCACCATAGAGAGACAAAGCGGAAAATGGGGGAAAATGAGAGAGCAAGCCACCGGGGCCAGGACTCGAACCACAGTTAGCCATGTATGAGTCCAGTGCCTTAACTACCATGTCACCTGCTGGCCCAGGGAAGTTTATCTTAATTTCACACTAAGTAGATTTCAGAGTAAATATTGCCAAGGAGGTCATTTTATTGGTCATTGGAAAAGTCTATGTGTTTCTATGCAAAAATGCATCATGACTTTTCCAACTAACCAATATAGTGATAAAGAAGTTAACTCATCCAGAGAAATAAAATTCTAAATGCATATTCATCTAGTAATAGAACTTGGTTCAAAAACATATTTTGAACTGGGGTCAGCAAGGTGGCTTAGGGATTAAGGCATTGAACTCCCATAGGACTGAACATGGTTCAAGTTCTGGACTTGGTGGCTTGAAAATCATGCCAGATGCATGTGTGTGAGCACCCAAAATCCCAGGAGGAGAATGGGGAAGAAGGGATTGCAGCGTAGTCATTTCCCCTGGGGAACAATCTCCCACTTTCCCTCTCTGGCGAGCACAGGTGCCTTACAGCAAAAACAAAACAAACAAACAAACAAAAAAACCTTATAGAACTACAAGGAAAAATAAATTCCTAATTAAAGTCAAAGATTTTAATACCCTTCTCTCAATAACTTATCAAAGTAAATAACAATCATGGAACCAGCAGTTAGCGTAGCGGCTATGTCACTGGACTCCCACGTAGTGGACCGCGGTTCGCGTCCCGGGCCCGGTGGCTTAAAACTCACGCTGGGCGCGTGTGCATGCGTGCCCAAGATCCCGAGAGGAGAACAGAGGAGAAGGGATTGCGGTGTGACCATCCCCCCTGAGGGGTGATTTCTCGCTTTCTGTCTCTATGTCTCTCTCTGTCTGTCTGGCGAGCGCATGTGCCCTATAGCAAAAATCTCTCCAAAAAAAAAAAAAAAAGAAAAAGAAAAGAAAAGTAAATAACAATAAAATATAAGACTTGAAAAACATACCAAAAAACCCCACTTACTGGATACTTAGATTGAGTCATCAGGAAATCATGACACTTTTTTGCATAGAAAAATACATGACTTTTCTGATGACCCAATAGAACATTCTATTCAACAATAACAGCATATACATTGTTTATTGTTTTCAGTTGTGTATGGAATTTTTACGAAGATAGACCAGCTCTTAGACCATAAACTCAGTAAGTCTATAAGGATTCAAATCACCAAAGGGAAAAATACTTGAAAATTTTCCACAGATTTGGGAATTAGATAATACACTCCTTTTTCTTCTTTTAACTGGACCATTTATTCCAGGGACTATTAATGTTTCGAAGTTTGTAGATTTTCTTGTTTGTTTTTTAGGTTTTTGCCATAAAGTGTATGTGGTCAATGGAGAGAGAGACAGTGAGAGGGAAAGTAAGAAAACACCCGCCCAGGATGGGATGGCCGTGCCGCAATCCCATCTCCACCATTCTCCTCTCAGGATTTTGGGCATACATGCACATGTGCCTGGTGTGAATTCCAAGCCACCGGATTCAGGACTCGAACTATGCAGCCAGCAATGTGGGATGCAGCCATGGTTGTGGCCCAATAATACACTTGTAAATAGCCTCTGAGTCAAAGAAGTCATCCAAAGAGAAATGAGAAAGAATCTTACATGGAATAAAATGAAACATAATATATCAAACTGTGCGGGATGCTGCAATGCTTAAGGGGAGATTTCTAGAATACACGGTTACTATGCTAACAGAAGAAAAGTTTCAAATCCATCACCTTGGCTTCCACCTTAAGACATGAGAAGGATCAGCCAGCGGCATGATAACTAAAGCACTGGATCCCACATGGCTGATTATGCAGGTTTAGTCCTGGACCCGGTGGCTTGAAAAACACACTAGATGCATGTGTGCCCAAAATCCAAAGAGGAGAGTGAAGGAGAAGGGACTATAGTTTGGTCATCTCCTCTCAGGGGAGCTGTCTCTCTCTCTCTCTCTCTCCCCGCCCCCTCTTTCTCTGGCAAGCACATATGTCCTATAGT